ACAGAACAATTAAAACAACCAAAGGAAGAAAAGGAAAGAAGAAAAGGAAAGAAACAACCAACATTTGGCATTTTGGTTTTCTTCAGATATTTTTCCACAGGTTTCCCCAAGGTTCCTTATGGAACCAAACGCACACGTACAGAAATGTACGGGCAGCTCCTCCACACACTGCAGGCTATCTGTGCCCCTGGCACACAGCCCTGTGCATTCAGACTGTGGGACTAACAGCAGCCAGCCCCCAACCCTACTTCCCATATCAGTGAGCCTCTACCCTTTTTCATTCAGCTTCACGATTCACTCCCAGGTACATATATCATATTCAAATTGCTCTCTTTTGTAAGCACATTAAGGACTGTCTACACAAGTCTGGTCAACACCTAGTGAGAATACAGCATCCTCAACCAACTCAGGAGTAGGACAGAAAACAATCTTTGCATCTTTACATTATCCCAAACACTGGACAAAATGAAGATTTTTATCCCATCAAATTCTACTTGTTTTCTCAGCAAAAACCCTTCTCCTGGAATTCCATTTCACATTATTTCAATTTTAAGAGACCTACACTAGCTTGCTGCTGCTTCTGACTGAAACTTATCACAGCACAGCCTCTTCAGGTGCCTTCATCTAGAAGCTACTTCCCAGTTTCTACCTGTGCAGATGGGATGTAGGGCAGGGGAAGCCTGCTACCCAGAGACCAGTAACCTGTTCTAGTTCATCCTGCAAGCCATAAAAACTGCTCAGCTCATTACCCAATTAAAAACTAAACAAAAACTAAAAAAAAAAATCTCCGCAGAGATTCCCCAGCAAAGGCCCTTGAAAAGAGAGCTGGGGATGGTACCCTGTTCAGGTAACAGCTTCAGAGGCTGTTGTATTGTGCTTGTCATTTGGGAAAAGAGCCAGCAGTTGTAGAACCAGTGTTACAAACGCTTTCTCTGGGAAATTTAAAACACTTTATTTCATGAGCTAACTTAGATCCTTTCAGAATCCTACCATCAAACTCTGACTTATGGTATTGGGGCTGGACTTCAGAGAAATGTGCCCTGAGTTGTACAAAATGCTCAGTGTTTGAAATGAGCCCTAGTTTAAGACAGGTTTGGAAACAGAAATATTGTTCTGTTTCCTTCCTGCTCCCAGCTATCCTCTTCCACCAAAACTTCCACTAGGGGAACAGTGTAACCAAGCACCCTCAGAGCTTCTGACAGCACTGGAGATGGAGCAAGGTCCAGGTGCTCTGTCAGGCAGACAGTCTAAGTGCACAGGTAGATATGCCCTCGGGTGGCTTCTGATCAGATATTTGTCATACCAAAACCACCAATTTAAAGGATACCTTTGAAACCCACTAAATTGCTCAGTTTTTGCACAAACTATAGAAAACAGAGAGGTGAAGGTGATATATACGAGGGTGTGAAGAAAACAGCAGGAAACATGCACAACATTTCTGGGCACTATCTTAGTTTGAAAGATTAAAACAAAAACATCACATTTTGCTGAGGAGATTGTAGTTACAAAAAAAACCCAAGCATGCCAGAGCTTAACAAAATACAACATCAATTTTGATCAAATTTTCACTGCAGACTGGTAATCACACAGGGAAGCAGGGGAAAAAAAAAAAATCTGTAAATATCAGGGCAAAAATGTAGCTACAATCAGAGGAAAACCTAGTTCAAGTGTTTTCTGTTGATGCCACTTCAAGTCACAAGTTTGAACTCATAAAAACACATGCTGTCTCCTCAAGCACAGAAACCAGATCAGCAAAATGTGACTAGGAAGTCTCCTGAAAGATTGAGTCACACCATATAATTGACTTTTTCTTTGAACTGTGTTTTTAAAACTAAGCACACAGAAAAAACTAAGCCTAGAAAGTGATTTGCTGTATGTTCACAGAAATACAAATATTCTACAAGGTATGCTAGCAAGGCTGCTCTGAAGACAAATTACAAAGAATCAGATTCACAAAATCAAGTGGTTATCTTACGAAGGTCTAGAAAAATAGAAATTCTTTTATATTCAAATGCAAGTTTAAATATTTCCCCTTCAGCAGTCTTTCTAGCAAAACCAATTTGGCAGCACAAAAAAAAAAAAAAAAAAAAAAAAAAAAAAAAAAAAAAAAAAAAAAAANNAAAAAAAAAGAAAAAAAAAGAAAACAAAAAGAAAAGAAACAAACATAATAAAAATACACATCAGCATCAAAGGTCAACACAAGGTCAAAGGTGAGAGTTCAAGCATCAGAGAAGCTGAAGAGACAAGGATTTGGACGATGTACTTGAACGCCACATCGACATGCTTTAGGCACAACGATGAACAAACGGCAGGAATCTAGAAAAAAAAACAAACCAGAAAGAGGGAGACCCACTGAGTTACACAGAGCAGTACATCCAAACACGGAGAGAGAGAACAAGAATGGGCACTGTACAATGAGATCTCCTGGGGAAGGGAGTTGACAGGGAAGGGCAGCACATGCCAACGATGGACAAGTAAAAGTCAAAGTACATGAAGGACACCAAGTAAACATCAAACTGCCAGAAACCAAATGGAAGCAGAGGCCTGGATTTCACTCTCAGCACCCAGTCTGCAGAGCATTCCACAGCCAGTGACACACTGGTTAGAATGCATTCACCTTGCCCCGTGCCCAGTGTGTCTACTACTTCTGTTTAGAACAGAGTAAACTCCCTCCCCAGGAGACCGATTCCAAAAAATATGACTCCAGGGCAAAAATTTGCCCACAGAGACTGAGACCATGAGAGACAAGACAGAGGACACAAGGGATTCACAGGTGGTTTGACGTTTGAGACTTTTCTTGCACTCTAACATGGGAAGTTCTTAGGCAGTAGTAGCCCAGCAAATCCACGTTCTTTCCTTTAGCTAGTCTCTTCTCATTCCCTAGGAGCCCATGTAACTGGGGGTGGGTGATTTGGGAAAGGGAAAAAAAAAAGATTATACAAGACAAAAAGCCCACACATCAGAGAAGAATTCCTTAAGACTTGACTGCAAGTTAAGACTTGTCCTAGCTGAGCACTTGTCATACCATTAGACCTGCACAGGGATTTTCCATTCCCAACCTTTTATGTAACAGCCCTCAGCTCCCTGGCTTCATGAGGAGGAGATTCTGGGCTCTGAGAAGCTCTACAGTCACTGTTGCCAGTTTGATGAGCAGAAAAAATGTGTTTCCTGAAATTTACTTGAAGAGTTTATAAAAAAATAATTCTTATATTAAGTGACATAAATACCTCTCTTCCCTCCCCTCAACTTGTGAGCTGCAAGGAACGTTTTGGGATCAGAGTGGGAGGCAGAAGAGAGAGGAAATGGTTTGCTTTCTTATTCTGCCTCCCTACACCCCCAACTCCCCTTTAGCTTCTGTTTGTGGCCTTAATCTTCAGCACATCTCAAAGCTTCTGGTTACAGACTAGAACAAGGTGAGATTTGCATATTATCTAACATCATTTGAGAATAGCAAGTGTTGCATTCTTGTTCCAAAGCAACAAGAAGCACATTGTCTACTAAATCAGCAATGCTCCTCTTATTAGAACTGCTGAGATTAATTTGCTTTTCATGCCTTCCAATAAAGGGAAAGGACTTTAGTACAGAGTTTAAACCAACTCCAGCAAACAGAGTACAATGCAACTCTTGCACTTGTTTCTGTATTTCAAGAAATACGCTAGATAATTTGCAGACAGGTGCAAGATTTCACTCTTAAACCAGAAAAGCAAATTCATAATGAACTGAGGCATGAGAAACAGTAAGAAGCATGAAATCAAGTGACATCTTAGCATGCACCACTGATATTCTTTGGTTTGTCTCGGGATTTTCTTGATAAGGTTTTTTCAAATATTTCTCTCAGCTATGTTGAGGGCAAAGACTGAGTTTTATCCAAGCCGTGTGGGAAGACTGGCCTATAAAACAGAACCATGAGATGCTGGACAAGCTCTTAATGACTTAGAGGAAGTTATTCCAGTTTGTCCTTGTTTTATTCTCACAACAGTGATAATTCTGCCTTCTGTGTTTTATATTTTGTGGCAGGTATGCTAGGGATATCAATTATCTTTAGGTTTAAATGTCTGCAACAAGAAGCTTTCAAAGCATTTTACCTGTTCATAGTTGCACCCTTCATTTGCAATTTCCTTTATCCAAGTTGTTTTTAGGTATTTCCAAATAAAATAGGAACAACTTCATTCTGCTTTGTTGTTCTTCCCTAATCCACAGCCATTACCAGTTCAGTTGGATTAATCATGCATGATAGAATTATTGTAATATGTGACTTTCAGTATTCAGGTGAAAAACTTTTTCCTGATAGATGCATTTGCCAGTGAGATTCTTCTGAGCTGGGATTTTTAAATAATGCCAGCCTTGTATTATAAAAAAGCTAAACTACAAAGAACTATCCTATTTTGGACAGTTGATTATCTAGGGGACTGAAGAAACGATGATTTCATTTACTTTAGTACTGACACTAAGCAGTATCACACTAAGTTCATAATTCTTTCACCTTGTTACAGCAGCAAAATCAAATATCTCCTGAGAAAAAGAATAAATCTATTAAGTAGACCATTTCCACTTTGTAGACTAAAAATATTTTAAGTATTTCCTGGTGTCACACATAATAAGGAATCCTATTCCATCAGAAGTTCTTTTAGCTTTTCTTGTAGGAAATCAGGTTCTTTGGTTCTAAGCATATAGCATACTTTGTCCATGTGGCTGTTTTAGCCAACCTTCTGCAGTTTATTTGAACTCCCCAACTCTTTATCTTACTATCCAGGAAATAGGGAATTTGACACTGACTTGGTTTGCACTTGAATGAGAGCATGATATGAACTAAAAATTTAAAAGCCCCAAGTCCCCGGAATCCCAGACTTCACTGCTAATGTGTGAGGAAGAAAACTAGCTTAAGACTGAAAGGCAAGAACAGCCTAAATCCCCACAATCAGCAGCAGCCACCAGACAGACACAGAAATGTTGACTTTATCTGATCAGTTTTGTTATCAGAAAAAAAAAATCTGCCCAAGTCACAAACTTGATACATTTATTAACTTTGGCAACATACACATTGATACACCAAGGGAAATCTGAAACAAATACACAAAAAGGGCAACATCTTCAGCTGGTGAAAACTGATGCAGCTCTACTGCGTTCAGAGAGCTGAACTGCATTGATTCAAACCATCTGAGGATAACATCTTTTAAAATTCAACCTGCATAGATTTATTTTCTTTTTCTTTTTGGCAATACTTAGTTACGCCAGTAAGGCACAAGAGCTAGCCCAAGTTAGGTGTCTTAAGGTGATTATGTCTGGGAGGAGTCACTGATCAAACTAAGCCACAGTGTAAACTGGTGAATCTCCTAAAATTACTAGGAGTCACACCTGTTTGCAACAATGCCAAGCTTGATCTGTAAGTTACAGTATTGAGGACACAGTATAGGATGAAGAAGCTAAAATATCTAATTTTGGGCAACTGAAATGACTAGTAAAGAGGCCAGAGCATCAGGCTAAAAGAAAAACAGGACAAAGGTCTTAGATAGTACAGTAGGGTAGGATGCAAAGAAGGTAAGAGTGACTGTAGAGACCCCAGAGCACAGTGCTCTCCTCCACTGGTTCACAGCATTCATCTTCCTCATTTAGCAGTTGTTGGGCTGCAAACAGGCCACTGAAAATCAGTAGTTTCAATCATACACATCATTATGTGTGTAAAACAATCACATTCAGGATTCTACAAAACCCTGGCCTTTTTTTTCCAGTGAAATAATTTAGGTAATAAATATTCTCCACCCTGGAGCGGTATAAAACTTCTATAAAAATAGAAACAACATTCTTGGTTACAGCAGGTTGCACTTGGAGCAGTTGCTCCCAACTATGTTTTTTTAAGGTTTTTTTTTTCCTTTTTTTGAAAAGTATATAATTTATATATATATATATAAAAAATTCCCATTAACACCCTGGAGGCCTTCACACTCCAACACTCTTTTCTCAGAAAATCAGGACACATCTTTCCTATGGTGCAGAATTCAAGTGTACATGGTTCACCTCAGTGTATGTTTATGTTTCTAGAGAGATTCAAATAATTAACATAGAAGGGTACCACATGCCAGCATAACGGGGAAATTTGGCAATCTGGCCTTTGAAACTTTGCCACCACAAAATTATTTAAATAATACTGACAGATTTATCTGTCTGCCATCAATACGGACAGATTGACATCAACTGTTTGATTTTCAATCTAAGAACTGGAAAGGGCTCCCCTCAGGTGTTACATATCAGGCCTTGTAATTCTGAGGTTTGAGATCCCAGGGGGCCCAGTCCCTGGAAATGCCCAAGATTCCCAACAGATCACGGCACACAAGTGGGGATTCAGACCCGAGATCTCAGGTTTGATGGGTTTAGTGCTCCTCCTGCTGGAGCAGAACACGAAGTCCTGACCTCATGTCTGACCCACACACATCATTTAGCAGCTGGCTCCCAGACTGCAGTGTTAGCTGGAGCCCTGGGAAACAGCCTTACATTTCAGGAGTACAAAGAAAACAAGGAAAAAGAGATATTATGAGGTAAATCAAACTTCTGTTAAAGACACAGAAATTGTAAACTTCCTCTTGTGACAGAGGTGGATTTTGGTGGTTTTAAAATGGAACTCTACACAGATTTCTTCAAACAGCTCAGGCCAGAGTGTCAAAAGTCCTTTGAGCCCCCTAAAACCAGTGAATATCAAAGGTCCTTAGCAATGCACTAGCAATTTCACTGGTGTGCAGAAAAAGCGTGTGTTCAGTTAAGGGGTGCGTTCCATTTTCCTTCAATATAAAAGATATCAGCTTGTACCAAAAGGCAGAAAAAGACTGAATGGCTCAATACTCTGGTTCCACAGCTCCTGGTTTAGCCTGTTTTGCACTGGTACACACCACCTTAAAGGAAAACTGCAGCAGAGAGATACATCTAATTACTAGACCAAATCACTGCATGAATTTTGTTCATTTAAAAAAAAAACAACAAAAAACCCCAACAAAATAGAAAGTTATTATTTCAGTAAATAATCAGCACTTACATTATGCTTATGAAAAGGAATTCATAGCAATCTCTGCAAAAAAAGGACATTATTCCATAGAAATGGGCAATTGGATCAACTGTTAAGAAGAAAAATTGTCAAAAATTTCTGCAGGTTACCAGGGATCTAAAGTTTATTGTTTCCAGATCCACATGTATTCATCCAGTTAAGCTGCCTCTACCCTTCCACAAAACCTAGATGAAGTACGTAGTTTAAGTTTTCTTATACATGGAGAAATTCACTGCATCTCATTACTATTCCACTGTAGACAGGGAGTGAAATTTTCTGGGCAGAGACATTATCTAATAGTTTTATAAAGTGCTGTGTACATTCACACTGCTATATAAACCCTAGTTTATATACAGCAAAAAAAAAAAAAAATCACTGCAGTTTTCCTTTGGCTTGTTAATGTGTTCACCCTTTTAGCCCATCTGCTTTAGAGATGATTTAATAAATCCCCACTGTGGTATACAGTTAAGGAAATTCCAAAGAGCACATGGGGCATAACAAAGGCTACATGGAGTTGATTCTTTCTTACCCAGGACTCTGTTCTCCTTGCCTATCTTTGTTTTCATCAGCTGTTCTGTGTTATTTCTGCTTTCCCTTCTCTTCTCTACCCCAAGGCAGTGTGGTGTCAGTTTCTACTGCTCCCTTTAACCTTCTCTCCCCACTCGCAAGGAGCTGGCATTGGTCCTTCTCAACACACACTGGTTACAAACACAGCAAACTTCAAATAAGGGAAAAAAAAATGAAAACAAAACAAAACAAAACAAAAAAAAAAACCTCAGCGATATGGCACCTAAACTCCAAAGTAAAACACTGGAAACAAAAGCACAAACTTGTCCTCCATCCGAAGCAGGATTCTCAGCAGAGGCTGCAGCAGAGTCTTCAAGGGAAGATGTGCCAGATAGAAGGCATGGATCAGCTTCCAGGACTGTAAAAACACAGCCTTAGGGCTTCGAATCACTAAGTGTGCTCCTCTCCAACTTACCAGAAGATCCTTCTCACTCCAGTCCCAGAGGGGAGGTGTGCTCAGTATGGCTTGCTGTCATTCTTGGAGCGCTTGAGCTGCACTTTCAGCCGCTTCATGCCGATCTGGAAGCCGTTCATTGACTGAATGGCAGCCTGCGCAGAGACAGGATTGTCGTAACTTACAAAACCTGAGGAGAGGAAAACACACAATTACCCCATGCCAGAGCTGCCCGTAATGGCTACTCACAACTGGAAATGAGGCACTCACAAGGTCAGAGAGGTTTGCATGAAGTGCCATTTTCAGAAGCTCATAACTGTTTCAGACTCCTCATAGCTTCTAAAGGCTCTCAAACAAATTATTGCTTTCTGACTTATGAAACTTTGGCCAGAACATTACACAGCTCAGGAAATTAACATTTTTTAGTCTATCAACAAAATAAGTAGTGCTGTTCATAAGAACTCATACCTGGGAGAAAATCAAACCTGGAAAATGTTCATCCAGATGCAAGAGCTCATTAAAGATACAAGATGGAAATCACCCTCATGACATTATGGGAGCAGATTTGTTTGAAGTGAAATAGCTGCCAAGGAAGGGTAGCACTGGTACCACTACTGTGTTTAGGTTGCTCTCAGATGGGAGGTTGCGTATCATTCCTGGAAAAGATTATCCTGGAAATAAACTTCTCCAGTGTTTTGAAGGAGCCTATTTTAAATAACTCCACTCAATGCCTGGAGTGAGAATAACTCCCACTCCAGTCAATGGCTATGTGTCCATATATAGGTGCTATAACTGAATGATCAGCATATTTCTGTGCTCTCACAAAGCATCAGAGTGTCCACATCTTTTTGACTCAAATAGGAAAAAATTCAGGATTTTATGTAGACACAAAGCTATCAGAACCATAGAGGAAGGTGCACCTCTCCTATTCCATCACAATGAATCTCCATCTATCAAAACAGTCATGAGAGCTTATGGCACTACAAAAATGCAGTATGGTACCCACAATAGTTATATCTATAAAGATATTAATACAAATAATTAATTATCATAATGTACTAAGTAATAGATACAAATTATTATTGAAATTATTGAAAAGACAGGAAGAGGCAAGAGGAAGAACTATCTCAGGATTACAAATAATAATCACATATCATTCTGAATTAGAAGGGATCCACAAGGCTCAAGGAATCCAACTCCTAAGTGAATGGCCCACAAGGGGATTGAACCCATAATTAGCACAGTGCTCTAACCAACTGAGCTGATCTCAGGGAAAATTATCTAGAGCCAGAACACTATAATAGGGCACAACAGTATGAAACTGTGAAAAGCAAAAAGTCACATTGAAATTCAGGAAAATGCAGTTTATTGATGGAAGCATTTGGTTTATTTATTAGGAATATATAGAATTCCCCACTTCCTTAATAGCTAGGCTAGACAATATACTGAAAAAGAGATTACTATAAAAGCCACCTTTTTACAGATAATGATTTATTAGAATGACAAAGTATCCTGAGTTGTTGGAATGGATCCACAAAGATCATTGAAGTCCCTGAGAATCACCCTGTTCACCTGAGAGCACTTTCCAAACACTTCTTGAACTCTATCAAGCTGGTGCTGTGACCACTTCCCTGGGGAGCATGCTCCAGTGCCCATGCACCCTCTGGGTGAAAAACCTTTTTCTAATATCTAACTTAAACTTCCCCTGACTCAGCTTCAGGCCTTTATCTCGGGTCCTGTCATTGATCACCAGAGAGAAGAGATCAATGTCTGCCCCACTGCTTCCCCTTCAAGGAAGCTATAGATCCACATACCAAAACACTTGCTTAGATTGGTCTGCTTGTCAATGAAAACCTTGGCAGAGACGACATTTCCAAATGGCATGAACATCTGCAGCAGATCCTGATCCCCAAACTCCTGGGGAAGATGGTAGATAAACAGATTGGCTCCCTCTGGACCTTTAAACAAGCAGGAAAATAAATTCAGAAAGAGCACGGATACCACATACCCACTGCACAAAAAAGGTGGAAGAGCCAGTCAAGACAAATTTTCTACATAAAACAATGAAACTACTGTTTACACTACTGCAGAGCACTTGATTCCAGAATAAATGAGCATGACCCTTTGCTGGGATTGATCACTAAAATAATTCTAGCTCTTTCTGAACACTTTTGTTTGTACTTTACACACTGTGCCAAAACTGGTTCACAGATATTTGCTGTAATGACAGCTGAACAGTAAGTTTGAATACTAGGTGTTGACTGAACAAAAAATGGCTATACAAAACTTGTGGTCCCAACAGAACTAAGTAAATTGTCAAAAAAATACAAATAATCACATTGCTTGTAATCTGACAGATTATCTTATAAACATGCTACATTTTGCTGAAAACTTACTCCTACATTCTACATTATTTTACATATATTAAATTTAACCTGAATCTGAAGAGTGAAAAGACTGGCATAAGTAGCTGTTGGAAGAGGTGAAGGATCCAGAAAACAACATTAACAAAACCACATCTGAATTCTCTGACAGTGGGATCTGTCAGGCTGTAGACTCATATTCTCCTTCCCTCTGAGAACATGCAGGAGTATAATTAAGGAAGCACTTAAGACTAGACAATCCCCATGAGAAACATCCTGTATAAAAACTACTTTGGGCAGCCTGTAGTAGAAAGATCCCAGAGACCTTTTTTATATTCAGTAACTCATAGATTTTAAAAAAATGACACCAAATAAAAAATCTGCAGGTAAAGTAGGTGCAAGGGCTAAGCTTGCCCTTTTGAAAACCCATCTCAAATAGTTCCTACAACTTTCTGCCTACCTTCTTTTTGACTTCCTGCTGCACCAATACTCTGCTGTGTTAAGAGACTCTGGTTATAGAGCGTGGGCAGTGCAGCAGCAGCATATTGCTGGATTCCAGAATAAGCCTGTGTGAGGGCTTCCATTGTGCTACCTGTCCCATTTGAGAGACCACCACTGCCAAGTCCTCCATTTAAGGCTGCCATTCCTGTATAAGAAAGAGGAAATAAAAGATGACTGAATGCTTCCACCAAGTCAGATCAAAACTCTTTCAAATGCTCTGCATGACTACAAAATGCAGAGAGCAAAAAAATCACCCCAGAGAGATATCACAGGCTGAGGAATGAGAATCAGCTATTCCCCCAGGCCACCACTACACATAACTCACCTGCTAAAGAGCTAACATTGAGGCCTGCTGTAGCACCTGCCAGCGTCTGCAAAGCTCCAAGAGAAGCCATTGGATTAACAGAAGAGCTGCTACTGGAACTAGGTGAGGAACCTGCTATTAAAATAAAACAATTAAACTTCAACCAATATTTTTTAGTTCTGATAACTCAATTTCTTCATTAAGCTATTCCAGTAGAAAAAACTCGTAGGGAACAGATTCAGGCAACACAGGATATTTTATGTAAAAAAAAAACCCCCAATTCCCCCCACTTTGTTTATCATACTGCTTGTATGTTCTAAGCCCTTCCTACATTTTTAAAAATTCTACTTCAACATAACATCTACTCTTTGTAGCAATAATAATATCAGTAAGTGTAAGACATGTAAGATTGAGACATTATAAAAATGTTGGCTAAACTCTGTTTCTCAACATAAGGTAGCCAGCAGTGATGCCCTGTTTCCTGCTGCCCAAAGTAAGAGTTACTTGCTATGTATTAACATATATCCTTGAAACATCACTCAAGGTGAAAAAGACTTGCAACATAGGTACTAGGGACATTAAAGAAGGCTGAACATATGGTTTTCCCATACTGCCAGAACAGGAATACCACATGCCCAGATTATTTCGACACATTAAATAAATTTCTATTAAAAATCCTGATGACACAGCTGGGGCAAGGATTGAGAAAAGTCTTGAAATTTACATCCAAAAATAAATAGTCTGTCCTCTATTGCAGCAACATCTTCAACTACTTTGACTCAGTAAGACAAGTCTACCAATATAGTACCTAGGACAGTAACAGCTTACATGGTTCATCAAATTCTACACCACGTAGAGTTAATTCTACAGAAGTCAACATCAAAATCATGAGGGAAAAAAAGCTGGTATGTCAAAAGAAAAAGATGTTCACATTGAGGTCAACTACAAAGATTTATGGACATGATAAAATAAGAAATGCATAGTATTTTTATGACTATATGGCAGTGATTTTTCTAACAGGTTTGTACATTACTGTAGAAAACCAGCTATGTGTATTGCTATTAACAAAGATATTTATAGTTACTGCACAAGATGCACTAGAAAATATTTATGGCAGCTAAAAATTAAAATATAATGAAGACTGATGCTGTAGAGGCATCTTGTAATCTGCTTGCAAGAGGAATTTACCAGTTTGACCAAGGAGGTAAGAGAAGAACTGAATTTGAGACATTTTCAGTTTTCCTCATGTTTTTGTGATTCTCCATTATGCTGCATACATCCATAAAAAATTTAAAAGAATTTTTAGCATCTTTCAAGCAGTTTCACACACACTACATATTTACCACTTCATGTTTGTGGCACAAAGTCTCTGCTGGGGTGGGATATTAGAACTATTTAAATGGAATACAGCCTAACAACCCGTTAACTAAAGTAGTTGTACCTAACCAAAGCTGCATGAGAACCAGAGAGCTGCACTTCACACCACTTTTTGTAATAACAGATGGAATGACGAACCCCCTCTAGTACATGTTAAGACAAACTGTCCTAATAAATCAAAAACTAAAATACAAAATCCCAAACTATTTTAAGATGCTTACTCTGATGGAAAGGAGACACATCCTGTCTTACTATCAGTAGAATATTAAATGTTGGGAAAACACAGGGAACAAGTTACAGTATAAACCTCAAGCTGGTAGAAAAACTAGCAGAGCTGCTGAATAAAAGCCAGAGTTCAGAAATTGTATGGTTACCTTGATTGTAGAATACCACTTGTTTCTACAATGTTTCGCTGCTGATCTTTGTAATTGAAAAAGACACTACATTTGATAGATGAGAACACCATTTAAAAACCCTTCCAAACCTATCCCAAATAAAGTAGCAGCAACTAAGGAATAAAAGGCTAAAGAACAAAGTGAGAGAGAAAATGGATATCTTCCCTACTTTAAAAGGCTGTGATTTAAAATACATTAAGTTAAACCACTATAAAAAGCTGATTACACAGTTATTTTAGTTTAGCCGCCTTTATCAGAATTTTTTTAGGCAACACAAGAAATGCTTTAGTACTGAAAATGCCAAGAGAACTGAAGACTTGTCTGTATTTTCTTTATCCTGTGTACAGAGGAATTGAAGACAGCATCCCATTTCTGATCATGACAAAAGGCAGATAAGTAACAGTACAGCAGAAATACAGGGCAATTACAAAGGAATACTTCCTATTTATAGCCTATATACCAACAGAGCCATCTGTGAATCTAGGATTTTTTCAGCCAAAGGCAATATCTTTGTAATAAAATTACAATTTTTATTCATTAATTTCAATGCAATGTGAAAACCAAACTGTTGGACTCTACTATGTTCTAAGGCACAACTTATGTAATTTAATCATGCACTATGCTAAGAAAAATTTCGTTTTTATTTTTAAATTATAAGGTGACAACTTGACCTGATATCCTGCAATTCTGTTCTTGAAATATCTAATGTCTGTTTTTTCCTTCTTACATGTCAGTCTTCTATTTTTCAGACTATTCCTAATAGCAAAGGAGTTCCACTGGTCTAGTCATCATTTCTGTTCTTGTTTTTCTTGTGTTGTATTTTAGATCAGAAGAGAACAAAGCAATGGGGATGGAAATTCAGTATTGTTTTATACACGTTCTTTACTCTATCCCTAATTCTTAATGTTGTTTTCTGTGCAGTTTTTGATGGGTTGTTGGGATTTTTTTCTTGCTGCTAAGGTTGTTTTCTTAGATCTATATACTGAGTTACATCTAGTCAAAAAGGCGAACTACAGAAGTATCTGAAAAGGTTTAAGAAGGTTTTAAGAAAATTTGAATATGTAATAAGGAACAGCTTTGTAGAAAGACACTGAAAGATATATTATTAGAAAGATAATGAAACTCAGACAAGAACATCAAGTAACAACTTTTGGAGGTAGGTAAACTGAGAAAGCACTAAGTCTGTCCTAATTCAGTCATGTAACATCCAAGCAATATCCTGAAGAAAAGTTAAATTCAGGTGATGAATCTGACTGAACTGTACCTGAATTAGTTCCAGTAAAACCAGAAACACCCTGCTGTCTCAGAAAACAATTTTGCCAGAGACACATCAAGGCCAGGAAAATCATCTAAGCTTTGAGGTTGCCTTTAGAAGGAAGAGAAATGGAAACATACCTCAGTGTTTGCAACCATTCTATTTTCCTCTGAAGCAGATAATTCTTATTGGTGCTCAAGTAAAAAAAATGGCAGACAAGACACTCCTAACCTGAGATACTTCTATAGTATTTTCTTGGATGTTCCTTTCACAAGCTAGCAGTTTATTTATGGTCATGGTCTCTGCAACAATGACTATGTAACAGCAGCAGACTGCTCACTTCCGAGAGCTGATCTTCATCAAGGTTTAAGGTTTTACTTCATCCCATTCTACATCAAAATACACAACTGTGCTTGGAACTATCTAAAGAATATTGTCTGAAGTATGTAGGAAGGCAGCCCAACAACTGTATGTAACATCTCTGAGTTCCACCTTTCCAACATGATAGCCATCCATAAGCCCATGGGCTGCACTGTGCAGACTTCCAAACTCCCCAGATACAAATTAAATCAGTGCAAATGAAAGAAAATCAAGAAGGCAACTATGCAGAAGGACTATCTGGATTTTTCCACCAATTATGCAATTTGAGTGGAGATGTACAAATAAGCATCAGGTGAACATTTGGATGACAGATGGAGAGAAGTCAAGGAGTTAGTCACCTCATCTGCAGTTAGGTTTAAGAGGTTATCACAGTAGATGTTGCCATATGTCCTTCAGACAAGGCAAGCTCTTACTAACACATGTACTGAACTGCTATATAGTGAATTTCTACAAGGTCTGGGTGTGGTTCAGGAGGGATAGATGTTTTCTGTGTGGAGCCCAAGAGCCTTCTATGTGAACATATATAGAGTGAATGCACATGTGAATATTAATCAAAGTAGAATCTCAAGTTTACTTGAAGACTCAAGAGTCAAAAAGCTGTATAATTACAGGAGGTATCAAGGGATTGAATTTGTCTGTACACACTGAGGCTTCCCCTCATCCCAGTTTGAGTGTAATTCTAAAAAGTGAAGCATATTTATACCTCTAACAAAAAGCACCAGAACTGTTTGAGAATTTGATGTCAGTGACTACTTATAGACAACATGCCCTCCAAAACTTTTTATTTCTTTTGAACAAAGCTAATTTTTAGTCTTTAAAATTATATTTGAAATTAGGTTTAAAGAGCAATACAATAGTGTCTGCTACATGTTACAGGCTTGTGAAGAGTCAATTGATAAATCTGTATAGGATATAATACAAATGATCCACCATACGTGCATTGCTGACACACAACCACTTAGGGATATTACTGATGATCAGAAGGTTATTTGAATTCAGTAGAGAAAGTACTGGAAAGTGGCCTGCTTCCCATCCCCAAGCCCTTCCATGAGCATGATAAAAAAATGGAACAGTGTCCTGAAATGTGTCTCTCATCAAGGAAAAAGAAACCTGCATAGTTCTGTGGAACAGCCAAAATTCACAGAGGGGAAGCCAATTTCAAAGAATCAATGAATAGTAGCATAACTTCATTTGAAAGGGATCTCTCTAGATTATCTTATCTAACAGTTTGCTCAGAGCTGATCTAACCTCTGAATTTGAAAATGTCCTTTCCAACTGAATTCTCAGGCTCTGAAATGACGGCGATTTCACAGCCTCTCTGGCCCCTTGTTCCTGAGCTTGATCACTCTTGCCAATAATTTTATTTTTCTATCTAATCAGAATTTTCTTGGCTGCAACTTGTATCCATTGCCCTTGTCCTTTCACTGCACACTTCTGAGAAGGGGCTGTCCCTGCTTTTTCTAGTACATCTGACATTTGAAATTCACAACCTGCCAGCCTTCTCCACCTCAACAAAATAGAGAACAAACTTGCTGCAGTCATCAGATGAGACAGCCAATAAGGAAATCTTAGCTCTAAATGCCAATCTCAACAAATTCTAACCTGACAAAGCATGAGGAAATATAGGAGAAACTGTTAGATATTTTCACCTTTATGCTTCCTTTATGATGAAGAAGCATTAGTGGGTTATGAATGCAGCTCTTCTGTAGTCTGAACTCTTCACAGTTTTTTGTTTTCTTTTGTTTTGTAATTGTAGATTAGGATACATAGCTGTGTGTCAAGATAAACTTAAAAATTTCAGTATTTTAAGGATTGCAGACCACAAGGTTTTTATGTAAAAATGTCCTGCAACAGAACACTCTTTGGACTAATTCTTTCTTTTAAGTAGAAAACTGTGCAAAGCACCCATGGTTTAACTCCCAATCATGTGACAGAAGGTTTTTCAAACAGCTTTTCCTTCTAATCTCTTTATAATCTCTTAGCCTGGCTCCTTGGTCCTCCTACGCAACTCAAAATCTAAAACCCCTTCCCTCCAACCCTCTTTGGTCTCTCACAATCACAGATGACGATGTCAACTCTGTAGGACAGAAGCCAGAGATGCTGGAAAACTGACACCCTGAAAATACAGGGTCTCCCTTCTCATGCCAAGATTTAGTAATAACTCAAAATATGATAGAAATAACTGAGCAGAACACTGATCCTCATTTGTGATAGAAACCTAGTATGTCTGCCATAAGCACAATTGAATTTATTTTTAATTTTTTGCTTGTTCCATTTAATGATCACATTTAACAATAAGGCAGCAAAAGAACACTACTTGGACATTCTAGTATCTCTGGTTGATGTACCTAACCTAAAGTTAAAAAAACCCAACTTAAACAAACAAAACACAAAAAAAGCCAAGCAAAAGATACTGATTTTTATGTGTAACTCATACACTAAATTCTAGACAACAACTTTCCAGTAGAAATGCTAAGTGTCTGTTTATTCTACATTTATGAGGAAGTTATCCTTGTCTTCATTAATGGAATATGGAATATAAGCTGTACTGTTCTAATGCACAGAACGCTTTATCTCATGATAAAGGCATTTTCTCTTTCCATATTGAGAGGAACAGGGTGTATTTACCAGTGCCTGCCTAAAATCACACATAAACCAAATGTGTGATGAGATTGTAATAATATGACTGGAAGGAGGTCACCTACGTTTTCTGCTTCATGATGACCTCAAAAATTCTTTTTACTGTAAATTAATCTGATCATTTGGAGGAAGAGACACAGCAGGTAAAAAAGCTTTTGCTAGTGGCAAAGATACTTATCCTAAACAGAGGCAAGTGAATCCACTAGTAAACTGTTCCTCTATTACAGATCAACATGAAAGTGCCAAAAAGGGATAGACAAAGAGGTGACATCTATCCTGAAAGGACTTCCATGCCAGGCTACAGCAGGGGCAGTCTCTTACCTGAGCTGGTGAGCACGCTCAGGGGGCTGCTGGAGGAGGTGAGCGCAGCGGTGCCACTCGGTGTGTTCTGAGCTGCGCTGGCCGCGGCTGCCAGGGCGGCCAGGTTCTGTAACTGCATCGCGTTCAGTCCTGCAACACAGGGAGGAATGCCAGTGTCTCCTGTCAGAGCCACCATCACCCAAGTGTGACAGATCCAGCCAGCTCATCACGAGGGATGAATGGGAAGGAGCTCAAAAGCAACAGGCTTAATACTAGTTACTGATCTTTGCTACCTTGCAGCTCCTTGCTATAGTTGAAAAATTTTCCTTTGGCCAGATAGATGTGGTTCTGGAAAAGGCCAGGTACTCCCAACACCAGATGGAGACTCCAAAGGACAGAAATTTTCAAGCAGTGTTCTCTCCAATCCAAACTTAATAGGAGTTAAGCCAGGGTCTGAGAGCTCATGTGCAAGCTACAGAACTTGCCTAGACACCAGGCCAATAACTTCTCCCACTCTCATGTCTCTCCACACCCTTTCTGTGTGGACAGCAGTAACTGCAAAATTCTTTCACAAAAGCCTCACACCACAGAGGCCACAAAGTCATGGCTTCAATCCACCATCAGCATGTTTTGTTTGGTCCCCCTAGCAGCCAAGAAGCAACAGTCAATTGTGAGACAATTGTTAAGTGGCAACTCTAAAACACAGGATCAACCAACGTTATGTGCATGCTGGTCAAACATACTGGAAAGGAAAACAGGAAACCTCAGGCATGCTGTGTGTAGGGAGCAAGGAATACTGCAGGGGGAGGAAAGGACCCCTGTTTTTATGAATTTTACTGGTCAATTTATTCATCTGACTCACCTTCATTTTGAGCCACCACTTTTGAATGAAACCATTTGGTCAGTACTGACTGTACTTTGCTCTCTTTTTCTGCCAGAGGATCCATTAAAATGGATCGCCTCCTGAATTCTGCATTTTAACCATCCTTTGGTAGACTAGCTCCATTCTTCCAATTCTGCCTCCCTTCACTTTTCCCTTATTTTCCATTTTTGTCTCTACCTTTGGTTATTCCTCCTCTCTTCATCTAACTTCAGACAATTCCCAATATTTATTCCCAACATTATTAAAAACAAAACTAAATTAATCACCTTTCATTTAACAACATCAGAACATCCTAAGCAGAGGTAGTATCTCATCTTTAGGATACTCAGTAAGACCTTGGGAGCAAAGCACACATCCCAAATAATTAAAACCTCAGTTTTGTAATTTAAGCAGTAAACAGACAACATAAGAATGTGACAATGCATTATAAATGAATTATTTTCTACAGTACTTCTAATACCTTTAGTATAGTTTGTTGTTTTTTAAGCTCTTTTTCAGTTGTTTTCTGTTTGTGGCAGGATCCATTTCCTTTGGCAAATTTAGTTCCCAAAACAAGTAGATTCTGCCTTTATTTAGGTTCTCAAGATTCCATTCTAACATAAAAGCATGAAGTTAAAATCAAGAAGTTTTCTATTTTGCTTTTATTGTGCTACAGAGAGTTAAAAGTGCAAGTGTTGGAGCTAATGAAGAACAGTGCAGCTTGTTTCTTACTGAAGCAGTTTGTCATTTGCACACTGCACCTGTCCTCTTGTCATCACACTGTTTCCCCATCTGCCTTCAAACAGCGTTGAGATTGAATTTTGTCTGTAAAGTCTGATAAAGTGTGGGATCTAATAACCTACTTAATTTTTCTTTCTGTGAATTTCAAGAAGAGATCAGCTGATATATTATCAAGACCTTAAAACTACAACTTTTTTGGTAGGGAATCACAGATTTGGAATAACCATACTATTTATATGTCTGTTTTTTCAGTTTTTAAGGTATTGTATGTTTTTGTTTTGTTTTGTTGCTTGTAATTGTTACTGATGGGTGCACCAGACAACACAAGTCAGATCTACAAAGACACTTTTGGATGAACTTCTACACAGAAAGGGCACATGATATTGGCAACTACTGTAAAACTCCAGGAGGCAATTTGAAAAGTTGAAAGTCTTTAGTATTGAAATCAAAACTACAGATTTCTCTGCCGAAGCAGAATTTAGAGAATGTGGTGAATGGAGCTGCTAACATGTGTTTTATTTCCAACTGTGTGAAGACAAAAAGGACAACCAATTTACAGCTCCAGGACTGCTATACTCAGTGAATATTTTGACTAGCAATCCACAGGAAGGAATTTGGCTCACATCTATGAAGCTATTTTCCATAACAGTAATGGCATAATGAACTGTAATTCAAATGAATTAATAAAATAATCTGAATGAAGCACTAGGTCACATTCCTAACAACAATGTATTTCCCACTTAAATGCTTTGTTCTTAAATGCATTGAAAATGGGAAAATTAAGAATTCGAAATCACTGAAAACATGTGCATTAGCGAGTACTTATTTCAAAACACAGTTCTTCACATATGCACCTGTTTGGATGAAAACAAATACAGAGAGTATTCTTTTTACTACACATAAGGGAAAATAATTTTAAATGCCAGAGGTTGGGGAGATAGCACCACTTACCTTGGGGACAATAGTTAAATAAGATTAAGAAGGAACATTCACACTTGTAGCAGAGAATTCCTGTCATTTCAAAGGAGTAGGCAAACACAGGACTACTCATTTCAAATGAGATTAAAATGCCAACATCCTTTTGGCTACTTTGTTTACCCTTGTTCTCTTGTTTGGCACTGAATTTGTCTTCCTGTGGAAGAAAACTCACCTCCCATTGGGTGGAGGCTGCTCAGTGTGTTCAGGTTCCCAGATGAAGCAGCTGCTGTCTGCTGAAGGAGCTGCAAATAAAGCTAGACATTACACCAAAAAACAAAACAAGAGTGAGAGTGAGGGCTGGCTCTGCTTCTGGGAGAAACTGCATCACACCACAGCCAGAGCGCCGTCACAAATGAATTCCTGCAGCCCATGCACCACATCATAGCAAAGTGTAAAGAGAATCCCCTGAACAACACATCTAGAGCACCACCACAGTGAAGCTCCACGTAGCCCATGCAGCACACTGCAGCCAAAGCAACAGCACAATGCTTTCCTCACTCAACATCAGCAATGCTGAGGGAAAATTACAGCCAACACACCAAGACAAAACCAGCAGAATCAGTAATGAGAGAGAATTCTTATTCAAAACACCTAAGGCAGGATTGCCAACCCTAAGGATATGCTACCTCAAAACAGACTGTACAGCTGACACTGCCAGCATGGGACAAATGGCAATGCCATACCAAAATGAAAGAGCCACAAGGAGAGGGAACCTCCTCTACTCTCCTTATGCACAATAGACATAAAATATATTTCAAGCTGTAGCTCAAAAGGTTTTTAGAGATTTCCAAATCCTTTTTCTATTAACTAGCTGTTATTAAAAAAATTCCAATTTATCAAAACTTAGAAAGTAGTAAGAGAATTGTCCCATTTCAACTATACAGCATGTCAAGAATGAGATTAAATTTTCCTTTTCTGTTCTTCAGACTTAATATTACATGACTACAGTTGTCAGAGCTACCCTGGCAACTCTCATGAGTCACAGCATATCCGTTTTTGAAAAGTTCATCCTTTAGGAACCCAGCAAAATCAACTGAAATTAAACTGCAGTCTACCCTCTGTTATATCATCTTTGCTTAACAGAATAGCTTCTCTCTGTTTTCTGTAGTGTTTGCTTTTATTTGGTTTATTGCTTTTTGGGTTTATTTACTCTGCTTCCAATCTGATCATCCTTCCAATTTGGACAGTACCAAGTACTGTTCCAGGTTTCTCTGGAAGAGGATGACAGAAATAAATGAAAATGATAAAGGAATACAAGAACTATGTCATCCGATAGACATGAAAAGGGCATTTATATGATAAACATTGAGGCAGTACTATATAAAGAAAAAGCAGATTCTACAGAACACAGGAGAAAAACCCAAGGTGTTTCAGTAATTAGGGCTACTGTGACTGGGGATGAATCCTCCCATAAAAGTATCCCAACTAGATGAGAGCACATAACACAGTTTCAGCCTTCTCATCCACAAAATGGATCCTCTCTACCAGGAGCTTTCTAAAAATGAATATATTAAACACTGCAAGACGATCAGACACTCCAATCCCTGAGAAGATTAAAAGAACCTGAATCAGAAACTCACTGCTAAGTACTGGGGTCCCAGTGTGTTGAGACCAGCCAGGTTTCCCCATATTGAGGCAGCACTGATCTGTTGCATTTGTTGCTGAAGTTGCTGAGCAATTCGTTTCTGCTCTTTGTCCTTCTGCGTGTCTGCAAATTTTACAACAATGGGAGAAGAGCAACCCTGCAAACAGCAATTCAAACAATTACATACTTGCTATCCCCAGCAGTCACAAAAATACTGATTTTAGACCCGTTGGAATCATTCCCCTCCTCCCCTATGCATACATATAGACATATATATATATATATATATATTCAAACAGAACATTTCATCAAAGGATCAAAATCTTGTTTGCTTTTAATTCTGTTTTGTATTTTGTTTTTTTCTCTGCAGATGAAGTTTCTATCTCCAACTCTAAAAATAAAGCAAAACAAACACAAGGGTCCAGGAGCAGTTTTTGTGAAGAAACACACAACTGCACTTGTCCTCTCTGCTCCCTAGTCCCTGAAACTCCACAGTGACTGCCTGACAATTAGATCTGCTCTTGACACCCACTAAGTTGTTTTACCTCCATGGTTTGTGCTTGGTGCATTGCTTTGATTGCTGTTTGTGCCATGGCTCTTGTTGTAAAAGTCACAAATGCACAACCTGGGGAAAGAACAAAAAGAAATCAAGTTGTTCACTACCTCCACAATTACTGAGATGAATACAGGAATGAAAATCCTTACTGGGTAGAGAGGGGGTGTAGGTGGGAATCACAGAAAAAGCTCAAATGCCAGTTGAGTTGCAAAAGGCAGCATCCAGCATCTTCAAACTGCCAAAAAAGCTTCTTGCTTGCTTACCTCGGCTCAGGCCATCTGGGCCCCGTAATATCCTGCATTCTTCAATCTGCCCAAAGGGGGAGAACATCACTCGAATGTCATTTTCATTGCACTTCTTGGATATCATTCCAATAAACAACTTCCTATCTTCTACTGCTAAGGAATCAAAAGACAAAGAGTATTACCAGCAAATATATGCTTACTAGATCTTAGGTCTTCTCTGTTAACTGCAGTTATTTTCATTGTCTTTAGGATGTGGGCTTATCAAAACCAGATTCCTAGTAATGGACTGCATCTTCATTTTAAGAGGCTGCATTTGAGGTACTTCAATGAACCTGGCAGATGTCTGTTTTATGATTTTACATTTATGATTTGCTGACTATTTTTAGCCTGTAAAGTCTGTGAACAACAGGAATGCAAAAAAAAGGAAAAAAGTATGTCAGATTCAGCACTTTCCCTGTATCTCTCCAGTTCTAGGTGAGAGAAGGCTTGAATGTGGTTTATTGGACTACTTTAATTGTCTTTTCTCTCTGTCTTTAGACTACTAGCATATACCTAACTGCTTATAAACAAGCAAGTGAACTGCAGAAAGCTTCTTTTTAGCCTCACGACAATCACCTAAATTTAGATATGCCATATCCTCAAGCTCCTCTCTCAACAGTAGAAGCAACAGCAGTTGCTAAAACAGAACACTTTTACTTCTGTTAGTGATATGTCCAATACGATCTGCACCAAAAGCACAAAAATTATACCTCAAATTAAAGCACGGACTGTGTATTACCATTTCATAGCTTTAAATACTGATGCTAATATTTTAGATATATTAGAGTTGAATAATACCTTTCAGTGTGCAGACTAGTTTAAAATAAATGGTTCAGAAAGACATTTGCCTTAACTTTTCAGTTAGTTGTTACTAATGTCAGCTAAAGCTTACTTGAGTGAGTGGGGTAAATTTGAATTCCGAGCAGATTTTTATACTCTCAATTTACTTATTTAAGGATGCTGATCACCTCTGAAACACTTTCTTTTAAAGGATGAAGTGAATTATTCACAATATCACTTGAAAATATAAAACAGTTATACAACATTAATCACAATATAAAATGATGAAGACTCTAGCACATTTTGAAGCTTCAAAAAAGTCTTCTCCTATTCAATGCTACAATGAGGGGAAATCAACTTATTTGTCGAGTCTTCTACGATGCTGGAAAAGAAGACTCCAAGCTATTCCAGCAGACATGACTTTAACTGGACATTAAATCTTAATGTTGTACCCAATCCATTTTCTGGTCCTAGAGCAGAAAGCTGTTTTCAAATCCTTTCAGGAGACCATTTTTGTTCAAGAGATCCAGAATTCCTTGTCTTGGTGGCAAGTTCAAATACTTTCATAACTAATGCTTTCTTATTTCTTGTTGTCACCTTCACTTTTTATTAACACTCAGAGTTAAATAATAGCCTCAGAACTAACATCCTAAAATCCACTGAATACTTTTTAAACTTTCCATTATTTTCCCAGGATATTTTTATGTGTGTTTATGTAATGCAAGGTCAGTTGTAGTTTAGAGAACCTATTCTGTTCTCCTCCCAAAAATACTTCAAAAGAATGACTCCTTTTTAGATATATTGATACAGGAACATGTCCTGTATATCTGTGGAAGAATGTGCACTATATGCTACCCATGCATTCCATCTTCTGTTTTCTATTATATTAAGAGGTAAGCTTTCTCAACCCAGGACTATCTTCTCCATGATGCAACACAAACTACTGCAAATGAAGAAAATAATATTCAGCTGCACCTAGAAAGGCTGAAACTACAGAATGCTAAATGCTTTCTGTGCTTAGGTTGCAGCAATACAGATACATACATATTTAAACATGCATGTATGTATGTACATAAAGGAAAGGCATTTCTTATAAGGAAATGCATGGATAAATTATAATTTACCCAATGGTAGATGATAAATTCTTAATCCACCTGAAATGGCCAATGTGCAGAAATATTCAGTTTTTCTTCTCTACTGAACTGCTGTTAATTCTCAACCTCTCTTGTATGCTATAAGTATTTTTGACTCCCACCCTAGCTGCAACAGGCCTTGCTTCACATAGAACAATTGAAAAAGCATTTCTAGATTTCATAAAATCATAGAACAGATTGGTGTAGAAAGGACTTTAAAGATCACCTAGTTCCTTTAACTAGACCAGGCTGCTTATAGCCCCATCCAGACAGGTCTTGAACACTTCCAAGGATGGGGCACCCACAGGTCCCCTGGGTAATGTGTTCCAGTGTCTCACCATCCTTATTAAGAATTTCTTAATAAAATCCAATCTAAATCTCTTTCCATTCAATACTGTTATCCCTTGTGCTATCACTATACTTCTAGATAAACAATCCCTCCACATCCTCCTTGCAGGCCTCCTGCTTCAAGTACTGGAAGGCTGCTAGAAGGTCTCCCTGGAGCCTTCTCTACTCCAGGTGGAACAACCCCAACTCTCTCAGCCTGTCCTCACAGGGGAGGTGTCCATCCCTATGATTATCTTGATGGCCCTTCCCTGAACATGATTCCCAGGTCCATGTCTTATGCTGGAGGCTTCAGAGCTGGATGCAGTACAATAGATGGGATCTTACAACAGCAGAGGGAGAATTACCTCCTCAACCTGTTATTCCCTCCTTTAGATACAGCCCAGGATATGACTGGTTTTCTGTGCTGCAAGTGCACACTGCATGTTTATATTCATTTTTTCAGCCACCAAGTCCTTCTCAGGGCTGCTCTCAATCCACTCATCAGTCAGCCTGTATCCATTTTGCAGCACCTTGGCCTTGCTAAACTTCATGAAGTCGACACAGGCCCACATCTTCAGCCATCAAGGCACCTCTGGATGGTTTCCTTTCCCTCTAGGGTATCAACCACAGCACTCAGCTTGACATCACCCATGAACTTGCTGAGGATGCACTCAATCCCACTGCCCATGTCCCCAACAAAGATTTTAACCACCTTAGTACAAAGAAGAACTCACTGGATGTTTCCCTAACTGACAACATGGTTCTACCACAAGCAGCAGCGGGAGAGATACTCTGAGTCATGGAATTTGAGAGACATCACTCACACTACCTATTACTGAAAACACACCTTTATGATTTCACTTCTTTTTCCTTTTAAAAAACTCCAACTCAAAACTTCATTAAAAGCTGTTAAGCAAAAGGGAAATCCTCAAGCTTCCTGACTAGCACAAATGATGATACCAAAAGGAGACTTTAGTAAAGCTTACCATTACTCTTTTCACTGTCAGCTGGTTTCATCTGGATAGGATGGTGCATCTAAAATGTGAAAAGATTATTTAATCCCAGATACTTTCACTTCATACTATATGAGATACATCCCATAAGAATTGTGAAAGAAAGAAATTACAGCCTAAATTGCTTCTAGAGAGGTACATATGTAACACTACAAGAATTTCAAGAAAAGGCTTTCCTAATTGTATGCCATCATTCCTCCTAAGAGTATTATAAAAGCCATGCCCGCCCATTTTACTGCCGTATCATTCTTTTAAGTACTCCAAAATTCCCATAAGATCTGTTATTATATAGATCTCATAACACTGATCTTTTGAACAGTTTTTTACAATATTATTTTAGGGCAATATAATGTGTTTGTGCTTCAGTGGTGCTGGAGCTCAGAGAAACAAGACAAAGTTGCGAAGAAAGCAGGGCTCTGCTCTTACCCCTGGGAGGATCTTCATGTTGTGAAGAGCATTCTGTGCTTCTAGTGCAGCTTTACGGGTATAAAATGTAACAAAACAGCACCCTGCAATTGAAACAAAATGTTACCCAGGAAAGAACATCCAGTCTTGAAGTGCTGTACAGAAATTGCAAGCTCCACTTCCATCCTTCCTATGCAAAATGTATGATAAGTAGAAGAGGTTAGGTACTGAAACAGGTAGGTGCTACTGTTTGTGAAAGTTTAAGAAAGATTTCCAAGTGTAGTATAATAGAATATGTTCAGAACTGACCCAACATCCCTGCTACACCATTAAAACAAACACTTAGATACATCTGTTGACTACTTCATTTTCAGTTATTTTCTAGCACCAAAACCCTACCTTAGCTTCACAGGAAATATTGCATATAACTGAACTGCAAATCCACAAACAAAATTCAGTAAGGATTTAATGTTTATAAGTATTCAATTAACATGAATGACTAAAACCCCAATTTCATATTTATCTGAAACTGTGTCCCAACCAGCCACATTTTGATCATATCACAGCACTGCAGTGATGCTCTCTGGAGCAACACAGTATTAGTGGATGTTCTGCTTTGCAATTATAATTCATACTCCTCAAGCATCTCCATCACTGCTGAGTTCTGAAAGAAATTATCATTTTTCTGAGCTCAGTCAATGACTGGATCACAGTTAGAGTATAATTAGACAAACACACTTAAATGCTTTATAAAGTCTGGGTTTGCAGGAACACCTGGTCACACAGAGAACCTATAGGGCTGTTTGAATAAGCCCACAGCTAAGACTGCAACTATGTGAAAGTGGCTGAAACCCCAAGTCTCACAAGAGAAGTACAGAAGTTCTCACCTTTGCTTTGAGGAGGGTTTTGGCTCCTGTCCCGCAAGACATTGATTTCATAGACAGCACCATACTGTTCAAAAAGTTCTCTTAGATCCTTCTCACACCAGCTCCGTGGGACTTGACCCACAAACATTTTGATAGCATCTAGATCAGGTTGGTCTGGGTGATCCAGTGTGCCATTCATTTTCTTTGTGCTAAGAAAAACAAAAAGGAATTTCTGGTTTTTATCTTCATACAAATTCTAAACAAAAGCATGCTTATGGCAAAATTAAAGAAAAAAATATTTTCTACACATATATAAATGTGTATGATGAAAATATACATATAAAAAGGAACTCTTGCACATTCCCAGTATGCATACCAGAGTACATTTGCATTTACTGGCAAGCTATGTACTTGGAAATGAAACACACTCTACATAGCTGTTTAAAACTCTGTTCCCATAATGTAGTCAGCATGTGGGATTCAGGATATAAATCTGCTGAGATAACTGAAAAATAACACTAGTTCAGCCATGTAAAATTTTACAGAAAAAGAGACCAGAACTGAAAGGAACCTGAGCTCAGTCTACCTACAATCTACTAAATATATCAGTAACCACCAAAAATGAGAGCATGTTATTACAGCATTTTAAAATGAGACTAATTGTAACTGTTGCTCAAGGTGAAGATCCATCTTAAAACAGAGAAACAGAATAAACTGATGCAATGGTAAGTTTCTTTAAAGGTTTACAAGGTGATACTTCTTTGTGAAACTAGGGAGCTTTCAACAACAACTGGCAAAAAAAACCAGGCTTAAATTGTACGTGAAAAGGCTGGGATTGGACAATTCAGTCACTCACAGACTGAATTAGGTTCAATAATGTCAGGATTCTAACACAGAAAAGAAGGTCACTTAGACTACAACACCACTGAAGTTTTGAGTATGGGAATCCTCAATAGATTCCAAGGTACTCCGTCTAGCCATATGAACAATTTACAGCCTATTAATAAAAGTTGTGTTATGCTCCCACCCAGTCAGAGTTGACAAGCTCTACACTGCTCCCTGTATTGACTCCTTATTATTTGTTAGGTGCAGTGTGATGTGTTATCAGTACTCCCAGCCTGGTACACCAGAACACATCTTACAGAAGTCTGACTGTAGTGACACCCTATTGTAGCTATAGTGATCAGTTGGTTAAAATTACTGACCAATCCCTGCATAATTTCGAAAGGACATGGGGAATGGAACAGCAACTGCACAATGATTCCTCCCACCCTCAAACTCTTTGCTGAAGGTGGTCTTCTTTCAGAGCAGTCCTCTTCACGTCTGCTTTGTTCCTTTAAAGATAGTTTGAATGGCTTATTAATTGCACATGATAGTAAACAGTATTCTTCTCACTGTCCATCTGAAATCGTATTCCCCTCTGAAAAGAATCTAAAAAAAAAATCCAAGTCCAGTACTGTTTAGTATTTTTCCCATCAATACACTGCTGTTCAGAGCCTAAGGAAAAACTAATGTTAGGGAAAGATCATAATTTTATAGCTGTATGAATAGACCTCAAAAACAACAGAATTTCTTACTAGAAAGAAAGGGAATGATCCTAAATCCTTTCACTCCTCTCCACCCTTCCACTCAGAAAGGATCAGTACCTCTCCAGATAGCCAAGGGAAACACCACCTTTTACAAAGATGTGAACTATCTCTTTTATTTCAGTTAAGAACAATTGGAAATTGTTCGCCCTCTCCAATAATAATTTTCAGCCCTGCTTTCCAACCGCTTCAAGAGCACAACATGGCTACTATTAGCTGGGCAACTCTTAACATGACCTCAACAGTATTCAAGGAGTATTTTACTCCTAATTAAAAGGTTTAGACTGGAATCATTAATAGGGAAGAACAGGAACAGTTCTTCCCACAAGTGATTTCAACAATCCATTTTATAATATCTGTAGTATGCCACAAAAAAAATAACTAAACAACTTCATTCCTCCTTAGTCCTTATCGCCACAATTATCAAACCATATTCCCTCTCATCTAGAAATCAACATCCATCTTCCATGACCACTAGGATTTCTTCAAGAAAACAAACTGCAGGCTGTCCTATCTCTCCTTCCTGTCCCCCTCTGTACCAACAGACAGCAGGGGCTTGAGACAGCAATTCCAGCTATCATTTTAGTTACAACAAAGAGAATATACTTACACAGGGCTTGCATTCAAGGAGCAATGGTCCACCATCATCTCTGGGAGGAAATCCAGCTTGAACGCGGCCATCACCTCAGTCTATGACAAACTACTAACACTAAATCAATGCCTAACCCCCCAACAACACCACTTCCAAAAGTCCTGCAGGTCTTAACACTCAGCCACACAAAAAACACTCAAACCACAGAAACAGAAGCTCAGGGAGACCAGCAATAGACACCACAGAAACAGGCTGGACTGGGAAAGGGACATGGAATCCCAGATTAAAAAGGGGATGTGACCATGTGAAGGGAAGCTCAGCTTAATACACAATGAAAATGCTGATGCACTAGGCTTGTTTTGTGCAATTTTCCCTGGCGAAGCAGTACTGAGTGCACTGTCAGATAAACAGAGTGTCAGATCCATGAAGATAGCAATGGGTAACAGAGCAGAAAGAATACAAACTCCAGTCTTTCCACCCCCAGCTAACTCCTTGTCTCCCAAAATGGCAGATCAAGGCCTTGAAGTTCAGACAAGCACTTTCCAAATCAGCAATACTAAGGTGTGAAGTCAAGAGGTTCCTTCACCATAAACATTTTTAATAGCTGATTTCACTGTCTTCACCTTGGGCTCTACTATTGACATTCTCAACTTTTATGGCAAAAAATGCCAAATACAATTTTTCTCCAAACCTGCCAAAAAAAAATCATAGCTAGGAAGATCTGATTATTCGAAAATTCCTTAACAACTGCAGAACACCAAAACTGATTCTTTTTATAGAAGAAAAACACACATTGTTCTGGAAACAATACTTTGTCTAAAAATCTGGATATACAGCGTCTATAAATGAACAAGAAAGGGAAAAAACCCAGTGACTTACTGAAAACTGTTTTATAATCTTTGAGAACACTGATCAGAACACCTCAGCTGCTTCATCATTAAAACAGACACAGCATATTGATCAAGGAACTGTGAGATGCATTTATATACACAATACAGGCTTCTTGTTAAATAATGGGGAGATAATGTGGATAAAACTGGATACACTGTGAAATGCAGAAATATTTGACTGAGTGGAGTGAGTGCTGCAGAGGCAGCTGGGTATGTTGGAGCACTCCAGGAGAAATGCTTAATTGGAGTCGAACATGAGACCAGAAATCCTTATAGTCATTATAACCACAAAATAACCTCTCAGAGCATCAAGGATTGCATGCTGGAGCAGCTGTGATCACATCTTTCTCCTCTGTCATGACTGCAATATGTACTTGCAGTTATTCTGACTGGCCAGTATACACAGCTTTATTTAAGCTTGCACAGTTACAGTATGTCAATTGTTTTTTTCATAAATAATGTTTCCAACCTCTGAAAAAAATTTTAGAAAGAGAACATTTCTTATCTTTTGCCAGCAGTGAGGTTAATTAAAAGGAGCTAGGTCTTGTAATACAAAGAGATATGCATACACTGCAAAATAAGAGAGGACATGCATTTACATCAGATATTCAACAGTAACTACTTAATGCATGGTCTTACTATGTGATAAATGCAAGAAAGCTTTCTCTTTAAAGAAAAAGGTGTAAGCTATCTGCTAAGTACCATTGTTAAGAATGTGCAAATAGGCATTAGGGAGTACAGGTCAATTTTTCAGCTTTCAGTAAATGAAATTGTTCTGTCTACCTGTAGACACATATTACGGGCTTCCCACTTGAAAAATGCCATATTAAGTAAAGCCCATCATATTCATCATAGTCAAATGTTAAACTGATCCTAGAGCCCATTTAATGCATTTGTCTAAAATGAGACTTTAGAGAAAAACTTTTCAGATTAATATGATTAGAACAACAGATTAAAGGATGAGATGAATCTATAGTCCAACACTGTAAATTCTGGCCCTATTGAGGAAGACCAGAACTCAGTCCTTCTGGTCTTTCACCCATCTTTAGCTTTCTCCAACAGCCAGTAAAATGCCCCAGCTGCCATGCTCACTGTAGGCTTGATGAAAGACAATGTTGGCAACACAGAGTCGAGAAAATGGGTTTTTAAAATGTTACTGAGATTGATTAGTTTACTGAAGAAAATCACTACACCATTACAATTTGAACCTATGCCCACCCTATTCCCCATCTCTCTGCTCCTCAAAATCAAAGTCCTATCTTCTTCTTCCATTAAGAAAAAACTGCACCACTATAGGCACAGTCTGTCAGAAAGGAAGAATCAATACTAGAATGGTGAATAAATACCTGAAGATATGTTAACCAAGACTCAGTGCCTCTGAGTGCCATACTTCTGAAGTAATGATGGCAACTTCAGTGACAAAACAGCGTACAAATGGGTTTGGTTGTGTTATTTAGCTGAAGGCTTCAAGCTAGTGAAATTAAAAGACTTACAGACTTCACTTGTGAAATTATAAGGAGTGGAAAAAGATGGCATTTCACTACTGCACAGAAATAACAATTAAATGAGGAAAAAGTTTCTTTAAAATGTCATCCTAATAGTTTCTCACAAAGAAAGGAAAAAAAAGGGAGCTAAACACACTTATTTTTTGCTCAGATGTCAAATTCCTGCTGGCTTCTAGAGCCATTCTTTGACTGTTTCTATACAAAGGATAACAGAAACAATGTCTGAAATTCCAAGCTCCATGGACTGCAGCTACACATTTAAATGTGATGCTCATCAGACAATATGAAAATTAAAAAACTACTACATACTACACATTAGATCTCAATTTTTTCTGAAGCCCTAGATGATGTTGCAGAATGTGTCATTATATGTGCTCCTCAGAGACTGCAGAGTACAAATGTTGAAAGTTTTTTGCTTTTTAAGTTTACAGAATTACATCATATCCTAGGACAAAAAAAAACCCCCAAAAATTCACCACAAAACTGAAAATCCCGTATTATATTTTCTTGCCTAAGAAAGCCTAGTTTTAATGAAAAATTAACTCTGAAAGCTGAAGATAATACCATCTTTTATTTTATACATTCCGTACTTGGACAGCATATACAAATCTGAAGCTGAGGGACTACTGGCATGGT